CACCACTTTCTTGACCTTCTTCATGCCCTCCATTACTCCAGAAGTCGTCACCCTGGAAGAGAAAGGAGAAACAGAGAACTGAACTCGAACTGGACCATCCATTTCACCAGTAGCCCATGTTTGTGTTCCTGCGCATATCAAGTGACACTTCTTGAGTGTCTCTTCACCAAAACCCAGCAGCCTCGATGCTCGGTCTCTCCTATTGCTACCATTTTGCAGGCCAGGTATCATCTTGGACGCAACAGTGATGGGCGCTGTGAGTAAGGCTGCCATCCTCAAGGCTCTTCCCATTTATCGTTAAACTAAACCAGCAAATAGTATTTGCTTATATTTGAAACAGAATAGCAGGGGTGGTTGAACAGTTAAAACAAGTGTTTATTTACTAACGTTTGAGCAGCTTGCTTAAAAAACCACTTTGCTATACAGCTGAATATCATTAATTCCGTGCATTAAAGGCTTTCTTCTTTGCAATGCTTTTAACAGGTACAACGTATTCTACAAACGTACACATAGTGGACAGTGCCCCAAATGAGCCTTATTAGCTTAACACACACCAACTCCTGTTAATAGCAAAAATTACTCAATGAGTAGCAATGAAACACAAGAGAGAGGTCACCCTTTTTATACCATCCAAGTCTGGATCTGTCACGGCAATCTGACCATTGAATTATAAAGCCTCATAATACTGTTCAAACATTATGCAGACTGAACTGTTTATCCAGCCAGAAGAGCACCACTTCTCAGAACTACCCTGGCTATCCAACAAGCTTTCCAGCCCAGCAGCTTTCTCTGTTTCTGTATGAAACATGCTATTCGCACGCACAAGACATTTGCTTTATTCCTTTGCACTATATGATTCTCATTGCATACAGGCAGTTTTTGCCCACAAGTGTGCTGCAAAGGTTATTTTGGATGCAGAAAGTAAGAGTGCCAATAGCTCAACACATTCATAAGGGATGGGTGGAAGCATACATAAAACTGTCCTGTTCAGAGATGCCGCTGTCAGCTGGTGAAAGCACACAAAGACTGTTGACCATGTAAGGATGCCTTATTTGATCAGACTAGCTAATTACATTTTCACAGCATCACCAAAGTGGAGAAGTAATCTGCAGACACACTCTTCTGATAACGCACTTAGTTCCATGTTAGACATCAGCTTCTGTTCATGTACTGTAAAAATAATTTACTCAAACTGGTGTGCTCAGCGACTCCCTAGCAATGGACTACCACGACTGTCAGTGGTTCAGACACACTGTGGTCCTAGATGAGCTTGTGTTTAAGGGAATAGGGAAAGGGCCAGAAGAGTACCAAATAGCAACTTTATTCCCTCTTGAAAGAAAAAAAAGGGAGAAAAGCAGGTTGCTTAAAGGAGAAAGAAGGAATTAGTAAACAGTAAACATTTGCTGGAAGAAATCTCATCATGCCTATCCGCACAGAGAACACGTAGATCTCATGAGTTCTCCCTGCTGACAAAGGTTTTCCCACAGTTGCACAGGCAAAAATCTGGGGAAACATGAGCTAGACAAAACCATCAAAGTAGATGCATAACTAATTGGAAAAGCATGCACTGAGATGTACTTAATGGTTTCCTGTCAAAAATGAAAGAACATTGAGTGTGGTTCCAGAGAGGCCTGTCCTGCGTTCACTTCTACTCCATATTTTCAGTAATTGCCTGGGTAATGGAATAGAGAACTTGCTTTAAAATCTACAGAAGACGCTAAGAGCTACGGATTTGAGAACAGGACTAGAATGCAGAAGGATTCTTGCAAATTGAAGCAGTGGTCTGAAAAATACGAGACAATGTAGCAAGACAACTACAAAGTTTACTGGTCACAAATAATCAACTTTGTAATTACAGAATAAGCAACTAAGTATCAGTTCTTCAGGGAGGAGCTGAAGATTACCATGGACTACAAACCGAAAATGAGCCACTACCACAGCAATGCAGCAGCAGACATACTGGGATATACAAACAGGTGTTTTGCACATGCATGACACCAAAGCAGTCCCAACACTCGACTCACAGCTAGTAAGACCCCGCCTGGCACATAGTCTAGATTTCAGCACTGCACTTTAAAATTTACAAACCCATTACACACGAAGATGAGGACAAAAATGATCAGAGGTTATGGCTGAAGAGGGAATGACCCACTTTCCTGGAGAGAAAGGACAACCAGCTACACACTGAAATTGCATCCAGGTCAAGTTATGTCACTTCTTAGCAGAGAGGCCGTTTACTGTCCCCGCCGTGCAACGGCAGCAAAGAACTGGGAGAGCATTCGGGGCGGGTTCCTCAACAGTGAGAGTTAAAGACCATCTGATGAGCATTGTTCTTGTCTCATGACAAGTGTGCAGTGTAGCTCTTGAGTCCTCATTTTCTCAGATTGTTTGTGTACAATGGGAAATTCCTCTCCCTCTCAAAATCAGTCCAGTCAACGTGTTTTAGTGCCCAGTAAAATCGGGTTATCAGCACTAAGACCAAGCACACTGCAACTCTCATTCTAGTCCTCTGAGCCATCTCAAGACTTCAGTTCCGACCCACAATACCGCAAGTAAATGTTCCTCACCTGCAGTTTGCCGAACTGCATTTCTAGCCCACAAACTAGCAGTGGCTAAAATGCAACAAATCCTTCTCACGAAACCATCTCTCTCCAGACAGAATTTCCGTGGCTGTCAGAGGAATAACTGTCACAAACGAGGCACAAAAGGAGTTCCCTGAACACTCCACTGCAGTGGTATGTGCTGCAGAAATTTCATAGTTTTCTTCCTGCCCCCCACATTGTATCCAAGGTATCAAAAGATGGCTAAACATTCAGGAACGTTTTCAGCCCTACACAGTGGTGGATCTCCGCTGTCTTTTCTCCTATTCTTTGTTTTATAGCCCCAACAAGAAACACCATGATATTTGCAGCAGCCAGCCTTTACCAGCTCTTGCAAATCAGAGTGAAAACTCATCAGCCATTAAGCAAAAAAGCTGATCTCTGCACATGAAAGATGTGTTAGGTGAAGAAAACTTCTAACAGAGGGCATCATGAATCAGTCTGCCATAAACTACAGCCTGAGAGAAAGTAGAGAAAAGCAACCACCAAGACTTGAAGTCCCAGCATGGAATAGGTTGCCTCATGATACAGTGAGGAACTCCAGATCCCAAGGCATAAGCAAAGGTAGGTCCGTTACCACAACAGTTCACTGTGTTGAGGCTGTTTTGGATGTTAAGGAAAAACAAAGTTAGTCTCCACCCACTCAGTAAGATGGATTTACTGAATTGAGAACACAACCATTAATGGCATCTCCTGCAATTCCTCTTCCAGCAGAAATATCTTAACCCCACATGCATGTATGAACATCATTCTCACCCAAGACCCGTAGCAGAGCACTTTGATACCTAACATTTAAAGCAAACTTACTGCGATAATGAAACAACTTACTGCAAGAGTTAAAAAAACAAAAAAAACCCTCACACAACACAAAAAACACCCCACCACACCAAACCTGCTTCCTTTCCCCTTCCTCACCCCACCTCATCTACTGTACTGTTTATATTCTTGTGTTCATGCACCAGAAATGGCATTATAGCTGGAAGCCTGACAATTCTTTCTGCCGAGTGCGGCTGCACCTTTTCAAAAAGAGTACTTCAACAAACTGTCAGCGACAAGCCCACGTACTGACAGAACGGGCTCAAGAGGCTGCCCAGCACAGAATACACAGAAAGCCACTTTGTTGATGATAAATGGCTACTGACCCTACTTGAAAAAGAACAGACTGGTCCTGAGTTCAGGTTTAGTCACTCTCTCCTCTCCACCAGGACAACTTCTACCAAGTCTGGTATAACCAAAGAAAAAGTCCTGTAACATTTGTGGATGCTTTCTCCCAAGATAGAGGCGTGTTAGTTGAAAAGACTTATGACAAATTACCTTTGCTGTTGTTGATTTATATTTTGCTTTTGAGAGTTACAAGAATTTACAGAGGGAGGACTTGTGCCTTATGTTGCTTCCGTCACAGACACTTCGTCTTTGGATTTTTCTTGAAACTCTGCAGATATCCACACTGTCCTTCACACTATTTACATTTACTGCCAGACTGAGCTTTGTACAGTTTGCGCTGCATGAGAACAGGCATAAGCTAGAGAGCTGCACTTTTTGTTGCTGGAAGACAAGAAAGCCTGGAAAACATGCTTGATGACCTCACGGCCTTCCCCTCCGTTGGCTCATAGAAATGTTGAGTCTCAACAAACTAAATGCTTCTACAGCAAATGTTCTAAAGAGCCCGATTTCAACAAAAATCCTCTAGGAGAGGAAAACCACCAGAAAAACTGGCAGTAAGACATGGCAGAACACCATGAAGTCTGAAATTTGCAGGCTTTTAGCTTCTGCCATAGCCTCTAAAGACAAGTGGGTATTTGTCACATAAAAGACAAAACACACTCATGCAAGGGTTAGTCAGGATGGTGTCAGGCAATTAGTCACTTTCCCAAATAAGCCTTGATATTTAAT